TTGAGTTTTTTTAAATTTTCAAGTTTCTCAGAATGCATGCGGACAAGATCTTCTTTCATGTGTTTATATTTTTCTTGAAACCTGTGTGTAACCCGCATCAGATTGAAATCATATTGACGTGGTATCAGGTTTCTAAGTCTCTAAATGAAGAAAGCATTTCAAAAGATCCTGTTACTAGAGAATAAAGAACATACTATCATTATAAGCAAACATACAATTTATCCTTAAAATAAAATTTCTACAAATTACTATTGTTTTGGTTAAAATAATTTCAAGCCCCATATTAATCACTCATATTCTTAATTGACATGAGGAGAATTTAAAAAAAAATGATTTGGAAAAAAAAAAAAGATTTGAACTCCTTACAAAATAGTCTCATATATACTTTTACAGTAATTTTTTCTTTTTGGTCCTGAGTTTAATTTTCAATGAGTGGCATTTGAATTCTTGGAAATACATGTTAATAAAAATAATTTTAGAAAACCAATTTCAACACATAAGAGAATATATGAGAAGCCAGGTTTTTTCCATTACTTGAGCCAATTCCTAGTAAAAAGTGAGGAAACATTAAAATTTCCAGGCCACTGGAAATGAGAGTGCAACAGTGCAAGAAAGTGAACTCTCCAAGATGACTACAGAGGGGGACACAGCACATGGACAATGCACTTAACTAAAACTTTTGTATCCAATAGTGATCTCCGTAAAGGCAGAAGGCCTACTAAAACCAAAAAGAGATGGTCCCATTGCTCAAACCATTGTTGGTCCTTTTCCTCCATCACTGCCTCAGTAGATACTGGTACTTCCTCAGAACAACATTTAAGGACCTTTGAGCTCAATTTAAGCCCTTACACACCTTCCTGCTCTTCTCTGTTAAAAATGGCCTGGCATTCATTTTCACAGAGGCAATGAAAATGTAAGGTCCTTGAACCTCCTACCTCTCCATCTCAGCACATATATATGANCCCCCCCCCCCCCAGTACTTAAGATTGGAGATACCTACTTTTTGCCTAGCCTCCTTCCCAATGGCCAGACCGCCAGCATCTTGTACTGTGAATGTGACGCTGAGGGTAAAAACCACACAACAGAACAGTGGAACAAAAGAAAAGGAGGAGCCTCATTTCTTAATGACCTTGGAGCTGCAACACAAGCACATCTTGTACTGCTTACACTCTGATTTCTGACACAAGCAAGAAGTGAATATCCATCCAATCTAACCCACCCTTGTTTTGTGGTTTCTAAAGCTAACTGATAGAGAGTTAACTTTGTTAACTGAGTTAACAAAGGCAATAGGAAACAGGGTGACTGTCTGCAGCTGTACTGTACAGGGATGACCTTGAAAACATTTAATAACTGACATGGCAAGGGCACCAATCAATCAAAATGCATGCTGGTGCCAGGACTGGAAGATGCCGCTGTGCTTGGTGTTACCTCTGGTTGCTAATTGTGTGGAGTCCCAGGAAAAGGGCCGGCCGTGGAGCTATAGAGAATACCATTCACCAACAAGTAACAAAATAATTCAATATGTTTAGATGGTAATTCTGGTAGATGCCTTCTGTGTATCACTCTAGAGCATGTAGCTGGTGAAGTGAGTGAAAGAGTTAGAAAAAATCCAGTGGTTTTATGGATCAAGGTCAGGGTGGATGTGATGGGGTCCTGGTGGTGGCTACCTGGGTAAGTAGACTTGGATTGTGTTTTCTTTAGGAGTCAGGGGCAGCACTGAAAAATGGAGTGAGGATCAAAACAGGGCACCAGGAGTTTCCGCAGAGGGTGGGAGGAAAGGTACTGTAAATAGTCTTCATTTTGCTTTGTTTTTCTCCCTCACATGACTTTCTCACCATTTCTTTTTCTAGCTTTTTCCTTATTCTTACTCATTTGACTCTATTCCCTCAGAAATCTTAATATGGAGCCAAAGTATATAATTTGTGTCTGTTTTTATTCTTTGACAAAGATTTCATATTCTATGAATTGTAAATGAGTAGTTTGGTAGTTTCCTTGTAAAAATGTAAAAAAAAAAATTCAAGTTGCTCCTACATATGTTGTTCCTAATGATTACTTTCTGTGAGCCAATGACCTCTAATAGGAAACAAAAAGGGAGGAAATCTTTATCTTTGGGCAAATGAAGTCCATTAACCAGGCACTTTTTGCAATGAACTCACCAAACTGACTTAGTGACATTCGGTCAACAAACTCATTCAACAACTCTTATTGAATCTCTGTGCTAAATGCTGAGGATGCAACAGATGCAACATGAGAAAAACCAATGAAAGTCTAATAAAGGCTTTACTGTGACAAATTTAGACTGGAAACAATTTTAGTGAAATGTTTTAAAAATGTGTGTGAACTTAGAAGAGTAAGCACACCATAGAAAAATAATTTCATTTCACATTTCTTAATAGCCACTTTCTCTCTTGATCTTTACAAAAGTTGCTAATGAACAATTAATATGAATTTTTAGGTCATTTGTCTTCCTTCACATACTCTCTTAATGAAGAGTCTATAAAGAAAAAAGATTTTTAGAAAGCTATTCCAGGTAACCTATTTCTAAATATTCAAAAGTTACAGGTAGAAAAGAATGCAGTTTTATAATTATTAAAATAGTTCACATCCTACCTTTCTTTTGCCTGGAGATCCTTTTTTATTAATGCTTCAAACTTCTTGATCTCATTGGCCACATCCTTCAAAGAAAACTCATTATCAGTTTTCTGCCTCTAAAAACCACTGAAAATCTTCACTTGCTATATTCATTCAAGTTTGTAAGGTGACATGTTAATACTAAGTCAAGCCAATTAGGAGGTGAGATATAAAAAGCTGTACTCTAGAGTATTTTTATAATTCTGATTTGTTACTTCTATTCTAGGCTAAATATACCTTAAAAATGTGAAAATTGTCTAATCTGCATAATTCAGTTCCCAAGTTTAGCTCTGACAGTATATCAAAGGGCATTTAATAAGAATGAAGATTATCAGAGTCAGGACATAATTTTTTTTAATGTTTAAAAAATTTTTATTGAACTATATATAGTTGGCATTTTTTTTGCTGAGCCATCCTGCCACCTGTTGGCAACTCAGCGGCAGCTCAGCTTGGGCTGGGACTCAAACTGCTGTTGCTCAGAGCTCGCACTCTTGAGTGAGCTCTTAACCAACTGAGCCACTCGGCCAACCCCTACAGTTGGCATTTTTAATTGCAATTGTTTTAAATGAGAATAAGCATTTTTTGGATATAAATATTCCTTTAAAAATCATTTATTTAAACATTTTTCATGCTACCTTATTACATTACTAATTTGCTCTCTGAAACTTAATTTTAGCTCTTCCTTTGTCGACTGCAAATTCTTATTAATAAAATTTCTTCAACTCTAAGAAATATAAGAATTATATGCAGTACTAAAATAGGGCCAGAAAAAAGCCTCTGTGGGTAGTATTTTTTAGAGTCCAAGTACAGAATTTTTGTTACTATTAAAAAAAAAGTGTGGATTAATATAAAATGCAATGGATTTAGAAATCAGAAATACCTGTCAATCTCTGCTTTCCCAGCATTGTGAACTTGTGTAAAAAACATGTCAGCTTTCTAATTTCAGTTTCTTTTGCTACAAAATGGGCAAAATAATATCCTACCTAAAGATAATGTGAAGTGCCCAATCAACAGCCTGACATAGCAGATGTTCAATAAATGGTAGCTATTAATCTTTTTCTTAGGTCATGGGCAAGCACATATATCATTAACATCATTGTAGCAGTAGGTAATGTAGATTGCAGGCATTAGTGTCAAAATGCAGTACTGCTCCCCTATGAAACAGAATCAGATTGTATCCTTCGGAATGACTGACAGTTGGGAGGGTCTAATAAAATATCACTTGGATAGTATCTTAAATTTAAATATAGTGACAACAAGCAAATCACTTCACATTTCTAGAATTCATTAAAAAATGGTGCAGCATGGTGAGTAGAATTTGAGTAAAGACATTGTAGGAATGGCACATATATGGTATGTGCACCCAATGGGCCCCTGTTGTAACCATGGGAGTCATGACCCATTATGACGGCACTCATTCTGGCCTAATTTATTAGTGACCACAGAGTCCTCAACACAGGAGTCCAGGCAGGTGCTGTCATTTAATAGGAGTTTGTCATCCCTGGTTTAAAGCTACATTCTTTGTTCTTGAACAAATAACAGTATAAAATGGATTGAACATGCATACAGTGGAGGAGTTTTTAATAAGAAGGGACAATGTCAGAGGTAATGTGAAAAAAAAGTAAGAAATTTGGGGAAGTCTCTCTAATGTTTTAGGAAAAAATTATTCTTTTATTAAGATAAAAACAACACAATATTAAAGGATTTAATATTAAATCGCTTACCTCTGCCTCTTTTTTCTTTTTCATCATTTTTTGGACCTCAAGTGCTTTCAGAGTACGGTTTGATGCAGGTTTAGGAATCTGTATGATAGCTGCTTGGATTTTGGCCATTATTTCATTTTGTCGTCTTCTGCTCAAGCGTTGCTGAATATCCCATATACATTAGTTTAGTGATTCAGTTTGTCAGAATAATAGGCAAAGTTATATATCACGGGTACACATACAATTTTTCCATTGAAATTCTCAGCAAATAACCAATGGACTAAGTGCAACAACTGTATAATGCTATGAAGCAGGTGTCAATATGACTTATTTTGAAAAGTATGATATGAAAACACAATTTTGGAGTCCCCAAACTTTGCCAATCAAATGTTTATTTTCATCCTGGGTGTAGATACTGAAAGGCTAATAAAGGTGTCCCAAATACAATCATTCTTTCCCAGTTCCACCTTCTTGACCTGCCCAATAATGGGAAGAGAAAATTCTGCCTTTGAAGATGGTCTGAAGAGAAAATTCAATCTAAGAGATAGTTTTTAAGAGGGCTCCTGGGGGCACAACAGAAATGCCAAGCTTCCAAAAACTCAGTCATAATTAATCAATGAGTTCGGAGGCTACATAAAGTACTAACACTAACTTATGTGATAACATTATTGAATCATCTCTTCTCTATCGAGGCTGTAATTATTTTAAGAAGACTATAAGCAGAAGGGCACAATTGAAAAAAAAAATACAAGGAAAATCAGATAAAATATTTTAAAAATAAAAGATTTAAGAGGTAACATGTGAAACTAATCATGACTTTACTACTACTATATAGAACTAATAAGATCATTAGTACCTATATCCCAAGATAAGAAACATCAATTCACCATTAAAAAGTCGGGAATTATAAATAATTTAAATTTTTTCTTCAGTTCATTTTCTAAAATGTGAATTTTTATTTCACCACAATATGTTTATCTTTTTTCCTTAAGAAAATCAGGAAGACATATGCTCTCCTTTTTGTCCTATTTGCTTCTTATCATGTTTACCATAATAATTTATTTCAGAATATTTAATGATATTGTGAAAAAATATTTAAATATCTAATATTTTAAAAATACTTAATATTTGTTTTTCCCAACTTTCTTTGGAGGCGTTCTGCATAAGACTTGGCACATCAAAGCTGGGCAGGCTGGTTCCATATAGAGTCCCAGCACCCGGTCTCAACTTAAACACAATTTTAAGAGTGCCTGGTCTTACCATGCAGTGCCCAGGGAAGCCCAATCCTTGATCCACTCTCTGGCAAATAATGAGATTGTAACATCTTCCAGACTTTGTGTCTCATCTTCCCCCTTCTCCTCACATTTAGAATGTTAATTTCTTATCATTCTAAATATATGCATTTCAAGTGATTTACAGTGCAATGACAAGAACCGCAATTCTTTTGCCTGTAGTTTACACATTCCATACACATAGCCACCTCAGATTCTCTTAAAAGTTTTGAATGATTCCACACACCATTGTCCTCTCGTGTCCTTACAGGCACAGGAGACCATGAAAGACTTCCAGAGAAATATGAGAAGCAGCAGGGAGGTAGTCAAAGCCAGAAGGGCCAGGAAGACGCTAAGAGATGTTGAAGGGCGTTGGAAATGGAAGCAAGCAGTGCATCAACCCATATCACCCAGGAAGACACATGTGGGGCGAGATAGAAAGACCAAGAGGTTGCAAAGTAGGGAAAAGACAGGGGGAAGTGTCCTCTGTCTCCCGCAGTGGTGACAGTGGTCATAGCCTTCTCTGGAATAGCCAGTGACAATCCCCATCACTAAAACCCCTGAAGCATTAATTTCTACCGGACAACTTAAGAAGAGATCAAGTTGTCCTGCCATTCCAGAGAATGGCAGTGCTTGTTCTTAGCCACACATGGAGGTGACAGTCAGCAAGAGTGGGGAAGGAGACAGGGGAAGTGAGAGAGAGCGAGGGGAGAGCAGGGCCCAGCATCACACATTATCAGGAACGTGCAACTTGTGCTACATTAGTGCTTATGCAGTGTATACTCTAGGCATAAATTGCAAACAGTATATATATATATATATATATATATATATATATA